CTTTACGTCAATATCTTAAATCCTGTGCTTCCAGTACTACTAATCCTTATTGACAAATCAAGTGTGTCTTGGCTTCCTGCTGTAGATGATGAGGATTCAGCTCTCACCCTCCAACACGCCTGCCTATTCCTGTCCTCGCGCTCGCCCCCTCATAAGGGTGATATCACAATCTTGGCTGCTCCCTTGCTGTCTCACCTTCCCAAGGAGTTATATCACAGTTTGCTGTTAACTGGTCACTTTATGCTTTTTTATGACTGCTACTAACTTCTTTTTTTAAGTTTTTTAAAAACTATTTATTTATTTTTGGCTGTGCTGAGTCTTCGTTGCTGCAACGGCTTTTCTCTATTTGGGGTGAGCAGAAGTTACTCTCTAGTTTCAGCGCTCAGGTGTCTCGCTGTGGTGACTTCTTTGATCACGGAGCACAGGCTTCAGAGCTCAGTAGTTGTGGCTCGTGGATTTAGCTGCCCAGGGCATGCGGGATCTTCCCGGACCAGGGATGGAACCCGTGTTCCCTGCATTGGCAGGATTCTTAACCACCGGTCCCCTAGGGAAGTCCCTGTTGCTAACGTCTGATACAAGCATTGTACTATTACATTTCTTTTCTTACACAGGTTTTATGTTGACCCAAATTGAAAATTGCCTTCATCATTTCCTTGACTTTTCATATACCTGTAATTGTTTTTTTATATGCCCCCATATACCTATCAAATCCCATATCTATTAAGATACCCAAATCTTTAAAAGCTCCATAAACATTTAAGTTTTATTTTTCACCTAGGCTCATTTCATCCATGGCTCCTGTTTAGGGCTATTATAGTGTTGTCATGTATGCACATCATTTATCTCTCCTCTATGTGGTTCTTGTATTGCACACTGAGTCTGATATTTTCCTCTTCCTTGATTTATTTCATCATCTTTTTAAGGCATATTCTTCACTAGTATTCTAAGGAAGAGTACGTGAAAAGTATATAGTTTTAATTCCTTGAAAATCTGAATATGTGTTTATGCTACCTTTATACCTGTTGGTAATTTGACTGGGTATAAAATTCTAGGTTAGAAATTATTTTCTCTCAGATATTTGAAATTCCACAGTTTTTAAAGCTCCATGATCGTCTAGTTTCCAAGTTGCTATTGAGAAATCCAATCTTTATCTCTTCTGCTAAACTTCTTACGGTACCTCCAGTTGCTGTCTTCCAAATGTATGTCAAACTTTCTTATACCCTTGCAACTCCTTCTGATAATCCTATTATTGGGGGTCTATACCATCTTTTTTTCCTTGCTAATTTTAATGGAGTTTTGGTATGAGTAAGTAGGAAACTCCTGTGACTTGTCCACCATGCTTACTCAAAATCCACTTATACTTTTATGTTTCCAAGTATGTAAACCCATGTTATCCTCTTTGTATGTATTATGATGCTGTTACTATTAGCAACCCTGATAGTAGTACTGTTTCCATTTGACGATAAGACAGCTGGGGCTCCAAGAATGTTATTGTAAAGAGCCTGCATGAGGGATTCACATTTAAAACCATACTTTTCCCACCCTACTGAGGCATAAGGGTCATGTTTAGTGATGCCTTTGTGATGGAGGTTGGTGGTAATAAAACAAGTTAGATCGTAGCTTCTCCCTATCTTGCTGCAGTAAACTAATGCCACTGCTGGGAGGTAAATTATTCCTTTGAACTGTTCTCTAAGTCACAGAATACAAGCTTTCCTCCTCAATCACTCTTGTTATTACACAGTGGAAATTGGAACACCTAAAACCAAATAATTGCTAGTGGTCTGACTCATACAGTGGAGTGTATTAGAACAAACAGGGAAAACTGAAATTACAGTGTTCAAGTCTGAAGGAAAATATACCTTAATATATAATGGCTCTATTTCAGAGTCCGGCACACAATGAAATAACTTTCCTCTTTGAAGCTTTTAGTTATATTCTCACATAGGGCACAAATAGCATTCTCCAATTTGAAAACAAAAATTAAGTTACTGCTTTCAAAGTCCAGTCTTTTGAAGGCATTGCAGTCTTTCAACTAAGTGCTTATTGTCAAAGTGAAAAAGAGACTGTCCAACTAGTATTTATGAACAAACACACATATCCAGTAATTTATGGTGCGTTTATATGTCACTTCAACTTTCTGTGTTTGTAATAGCAAACACTCTTTTGTTCAATGTGCCTTCAGGATGGGATTTTCAGGTAATACCTCCTGAAGATTTTCTAGGACTTTCTCCTGTCAAGGGTTTTCTTGTTGATTTTGTTAGCTAAATGTCAGGTTCTCATAGTTCCTTATTTTATCATTTCATTATCCCCAAGTGCGCTAGTGGTAAAGAACCTGCCTGCCAATGCAGGAGACATAAGAGATGTGGGTTCCATCCCTGGGTCAGGAAGATCCCTTGGAGAAGAGCATGGCAACCCACTCCAGTATTCTCGCCTGGGAAATCCATGGAGAGAGCAGCCTGGTGGGTTATAGTCCATGGAGTCACAAGGAGTCAGACAGGACTGAAGCAACTTACCACATCCCCAAGTGCATCCTCTTGTCAGTGAAACAGTCAAATAAAAGGAGGAAATGTTTGGATCAAGTCCAGAAAGACTGAAACGAAGCAGGGCTTCCTTGAACCCGAGGCATGTCACTCTACTGCTTGGACCCTCAAGCTTCTCATCTGTGAAATCGATGGTCTCCAAATGCTTTTCACACCATCAGTAAAACCGTTTCAATTAATTATGTGAATCAGTCACTGCTGATTTCAGCACATGTGTGACTGATTTCACACATGACACATGTGTGATGATAAAATACAGAGTTTGTTCATTAATTTCTTTAATGCATGTTTATTGGGCACCATACCCAGAGCTGGTATACAGTGGCAAATAGCCTTAGCCTCACTGAGTTCATAGTTCAGATGGAAAAAAAAAACTCAAATAAGTAATAATTGTGATAAATACTGTGAAAGATAACAACAGAGTGCCATGAAAAGACTAATAGGAAAAAATATAATTTAGACGGGGAAAGGGGAGTGTTCTAAGAAGCCTTCATTGAAGAAATGCCAAGCCACCCTAAGGATGAGGAGGGACGGGCACAGCGTTCCACACACATAGGGCAGCATGTGTAAAGACTCCCAGAGATTCAAGAGCTCGTGCATTTAAGGAACTTGAAGAAGGCCATGTAGCTATACCCTGGTGAAGGTTCCCACCAAATCATACAAAGTCTTGCCATGACGGTAAGCATTTTGTATAACATCAGAAAGCAGGGAGAACCTCCTAAGAGACAGTTAAGCAGGAGAAGGGGATTTGAGTACGTTTGTCTGACCTTTCTACATACCAGGCAGGAACATAAAAACAGGTAAAGACAGTTCAGTCACCATCCAGACACGGGATGGTGGTGGTTTGATGGAGATGCAGGTGGAGGTGGATCTTACGTATCTCGAACTCTCCTCACTTTGGGCTGTAGCCTGCCAGGCTTCTCTGTCCATGGGATTCTCCAGGCAAGAATACTGGAATGGGTTGCCATGCCATCCTCCGGAGGATCTTCCTGACTCAGGGATCAAACCCAGGTCTCCTGATGGCAGGCAGATTCTTTACCATCTGAGCCACCAGACCTGCCTGCCAACTACAATGTGCAGAGGGAGACCTGTGGGCTCCTGGTTCACAGTACATGGACAGACTAATTCCTGTTGAGGGAGGCCCTTTTCCCTTCTACCTGGTCTTCTCAGGCAGCATTCAGCGTGGTCCACAGGAGGTATTCACACATCCCCTTGCTGACAAGCTTTTAGGGTGCAGGCCTCGCCTCTATGGCTATGTCTCCCAGACAGGCTGCCAGGACCACTGGTCACCTGTATCTCTCACCTGTATACTCTCCCAAGGGTGTGGCCACAGCCCTACGTCCAGATCTCCTCCAAACCCCCTCAGCAGGAGGAGACTGAGGAGAAAGCACCACATTCTTCTCATGTAGAGAAGGATCGTTTGGGGATAAAACTCTTAATGCCCAAACAGCTCTGCAAAGAAGTGCTCCCTCCAGTCTCCCACTTCCCTTCCTCTTTCCTAATAGGATTGAATTGCTCGGTCACTTAGCTGTGAAATGCATTTCGGCACCAAATTTTTAAGGCCCGCCCGGAAGCCAAGCACCTATTTCCCCTTAATAAATCAGAGCAGATAGCACCTCTTGTGCCATCTGTATCCTCTCTCCTGAACTCAGTGGAGACACAACACAGCCCATTTTAACATCCTCTCCTTGTCTCCTTCTAGCCACTTTCTGAAACAACAAATGAGGTAGCCAGCTCCGCCCCCCACCTTCCTGAAGCTGCCACCTCCAGCGCCCTGGTCTGTCCCCCCCGAGCCGTTCCAGCACCGCTGCCATGGGCCTGGGGCAGTAACACAGTTCCCTGGGTGCCTCTCTCCTGTCCTCCCCCCTCTGCCTTCGTCCTTCTCACCATGCTACAGCACCCTGTCCCAGGACACTTAAGTGACTCGCTGCAGAGGTGGGTTAATTGCCACCCACTGCCCTTCCTCCTCCCCAGGCCAGGGCTAGTGTCTGATCGAGCTCTCTCTCTCCCCCACTTCAGAGCATCATCAGCCCTGATATCACACAGACCACGCTATTCCCCCTGTATTGGGTATTTTCCAGAGAGTTTGCCTGAGAGTTCAGACTCTGTGATAGGAATTCAGGTAAATGGACAGAATGTCTGGACTTGGGCTACTTAGTGAGGTACATAAAAGAGCAGAAATGTGACCCATGTGAAGAGCCAAGAAAGTGGGATTTGCGAGTTTAAATTGAATGAGTGATGAAAGCAGAGAAGATTGAGGTTTCTTGGAGAAATGAACAGGAAAGGAGTGGAGGGAAACCAGAACCGATACTTTGCGTAGAAAAGAGGGAAGAAGGTAAAAGAATGTACCATAACAGTTTGTCCATTTTGAAAGCTTTGTACAAGTCACAGGAAAGAATTCATAAAAGTATCTGAGAAAGCACGTTGTGTCCTAACCAAAGCTCGCCATGTATCCAACAGGAACAAATGCTAAGCATGGACTGCGCTGCAAGGCCTGTAAGATGAGCATCCACCACAAGTGCATGGATGGCCTGGCACCCCAGCGGTGCATGGGCAAGCTGGTAAGGGCCCGTGCCCAGGGTGAACCCCGGGACCCCTGCTCAGGGCGTGTGCCTGCCTGATGAAATCAGGAAGCACTGCCCCACCCTGCCCCAGATCTCTGGCTGGCCAGCTTGGCTTCCTAGTAGGATTGAGTAAGGAGGAGCTTTTTCAACCGAAGAGGTGCAAGTTCTGTGTGTAGAAAAATACTCAGGGTCTTTAGTAAAGTGGACAACTTGTCTTGGGTCAGGACTTTGTCAGTGTTAGCCCTCAAGTCCCACATCCCGGGACTGTCCAGGTTTTGAAAGTAAAAGTTAGGCATCCCAGGAACCTCCTCAGCCCCAGTTCAATGGGCTGACAGCTCAGAGCATATCAAGAATGGGATAGAGATTAACCACTCCACAGAAGTGGAGTGGTAAAAATCTACACTACTATCATGGATCATGATGGCCAAACCCAGAGAGGGAGCCTCAGCCTGGCCCATGCTGGCTGTTTGTCTCATCTCAGGAGTGGGCTTCCCTACTGGTGCTACACAATGATAGAAAGCCACCTAGAACACTTTTGAAAATATTTGAAACTAGGATGGCCAAAGAATTCTGTTACTCTAAGGGACCAAGAAGGTCTGCCCTAGAGACACTTAGGTCATGATAGCTGATTCAGAAAAACTTAAGATCTGGCACACGGAAGAATTCTGTTCTCTACGGCTCCAGGGAAAGCACCTAGGATCAGTAGGTTCCACATCTTAACAACCAGAGATAATGCCACTAAGGTCCTCCATCCCGGGTTAGGGAGAGTTCCTGCCACCCACGTCCCCAGCAGTGTTCACCGGAGGAACGCTTGCCAGGAACGTTGGAGAGGGTTCTGGGATTCTGGTAGGGGCAGGGCCCTGATGTTCCTTTTTGAGTCTGGGGTGAAGCCAGGATTCTTAGAGTTCCTCTCTGTACTCTTGACTGGCAGTATCCTCTTCTCCAAAACCCCTGCCTCACTTGCTCCCCCCACCTCCTCCCACGGTGATTCCCAGAAGCCAGGGCAGAGACCATGGGTGAGAGGTCCGGGAAACAGAACGGGATCTGGAACTCAGAGCTTATCAGACATACAAGGGACTTGAGGTCTCCCTGTGAGGTCCGCTTGCCCACGCCCAGGCCTTTGCATGAGTGTAATAAACCACGTGGTGAGAGAATGCACAAGCGTGCATTTGTGTCCTAGGGGACAACGAGCCCAGCAGAAAGGAGGTGGCAGCAGGCAGAGGAGGGGCAGGACGGGAGGGCAGGGCTGGGGGTCTGCCTTCTGGAGGCAGTGGGGCTTGCTTATTGACAGTTGTACCTCCCCGCCCCCACCCAGGGAGGATTAGAGGCCATGTCAGCATCTTAAAGGGCGACAGGGAGGCATCCCTAGAGAAACCAACTGGCTTCATTTTCAGAGTTCTCAAGTGGTTGCCTCCATCTCAGCAGTGACACTGAACCCTTTTCTTTCCCACTCTCTCTCCCCAGCCAAAGGGGTTTCGGCGTTACTACAGCTCCCCCTTGCTCATTCACGAACAGTTCGGCTGCATTAAAGAAGTCATGCCCATTGGTGAGTTGAGACCTTGCTGGGTTGCGTTGGGTTGAGCAGCAACATCCAAGCTGAGGCCTCCTCTCCTCCCGGGTCCCAGGGCCACAGGGGTGGCAGGGGGCAGGGCGGAGTGCATTCATTCGGTGGCTAACTGGGTTATGGTCGTTTGTTTTGCTGGAGGGGAAACTGATGGTGGACCAAATTCCCCTGAAGTTTTTTTCCCTGCCCTGATGAAACTTGAGAGACACCCAGGTCCCAAAGGCTGCTGAGATGCTGTGCCAGCTCTCAGCACCATGGCAGAGTGGAAGCAGCATGAAGCATGGTTTCCCATAGACCTGGGTCAGAGCCCAGTTCCCCCACTGGCCAGATGCGTATCTGAGCAAGTAACTCAACCTGCTGGACCCTGTACTCTGAAAACAGCAGTGGCTGCTTTTCATAATTTTTTGTAGACGAAAATAAACAGAGATATAATGACATTATAAGACCAATGCTCGAAAGGAACTCAGTGAATATCAGTTATTCTTTAATGAAGACAAATAATGTCTTACAGATATTTCTGGCTTGAATGTATTCTTCAACAGTATCTTTCAGTTTACTTCTATGTTTTCTTTCTTTCTGAAAATCTCTACATTTATGTTTGCCTTTTGGTGGAGGCAGGGGGAACAAGTTTTACCCTAGAAATTTACAAACTAGAAAGCTTTTAATTAGAAATTCAGGAAGCCTAGTAATGTGACTTTCTTTCCAAACACTTGCCTCCTCCTGCCGGCTTTGTGTCACGAGATTTTGTACCTTGGCAAGCAGAGCCTTTCGCTAGAGGAAATAAAGCCGGTCTCTGGGAAGAACCTTGGCATTGGAGCCCTGGGGATGGATAACAAAGAGGAGAACCAGCCAGTCAGGGAACGTTCGGGAGCAGAGAGAGCTGAGTGCTGTGGAGGGTGCCGGAAAACTGGCGCAATCATGGGGGGGAGGTGCACATCCCCAGGGATACTTGACCACAGAAGCCTCACTTCCCCAGGGGTCTCCCAGGGGTTAGTGGGTCCGTTGTGCAGAACTTACTTCTGGTGTCGTTAACCCAGGAGGTGTGGTCAGTGGTCGGCTGTGTCCCCGACCGTGACTTGAGGGAACCCTGTCTCAGATGAGCTTTCTCTTCTGTCGCAGCCTGCGGCAATAAGGTGGACCCTGTGTATGAGACCCTCCGCTTCGGCACCTCGCTGGCCCAGAGGACAAAGAAGAGCAGCTCGGGCAGCGGCTCCGACTCGCCTCACAGAACCTCGGTGATTGCCCCCTCCTCCCTCGGGTAACCCGCCATGGTCCCAGGCAGGGCAGGCCTGGAGCACCACAGAGCGCGTCAGGCGGGGAGTCGCGGGAGCCATGCAGCCTCCAAAGGGGGCTCCAAGTGCCTTGGGGCACTGAAGGGTAACGTTCTGTGGCTGGCCCCCAGAGATCCTCAGAGACCACACTCTTGGCCTCATAGTCCTGACTCTCCCCCGTGTACCTCCCCCCTCCCCATTAGACAGCATATCTGCCAACACATAGAAAGGTTCGCCCCAGACAAGGGCAGAAGCTGGAATGTCCCAGTTGTGTCCTGTTCTCCTTCCAGCTGCATCCCAGTTCAAGAATACAGCCCTTTCTCACATGTTCTCAGTCCTCTCTCTTTAAAGCAAGATCCACCCTTTGATTTCTTTCACACGAACACTGCCCTCCCCAGAGGCATGGGGTGTTTCCGTCCACGGGTCACATCACCATCCCCCCGCACCTCTCCCCACTTAGTAATAGCAGTAGTGAAGTCCCTCAGTCGTGTCTGCCTCCCTGTGACCCCATGGACTGCAGCCCTCCAGTCTCCTCCGTCCATGGGATTCTCCAGGCAAGAGTACTGGAGTGGGTTGCCATTCCCTTCTCCAGGGGATCTTCCCCACCCAGGGACTGAATTGCAGGCAGAGTCTTTACTACCATCTGAGCCACCAGGGAAGCGCCTTCGTTTGACCTGACCTAAAAATGAGTGTTCTGTGCATCTCTGTGACCTGGTATTATCATCCTCTCTGGCTGTCCTAACCAGAATTTCTGTGAATGCCCCAAGATGCCACCCAGCTCTGTAGCAGAGAGAAGGCGCCTCAGAGATAGGTCTGACATGCTCACATCAGCAGCAGCATCCACTCCTGCAGTTCTGAGCTCTGCAGGAACTAGCTCAACTAACTAGTTGGTTAGCTAGTTTTAGCACAGAGACATCCCAGGGACCGGTCGGCAGGAGGCAGTGAACGTTTTCACCTCTGCATTTGTGACTGGTGTTTGGAGCAAGAGGAACATCAGAGGCACACTTGAGGGATGTCCAGGCTGCTTTCGTGTCTGTGTCTTGACCCTACAGACTGGTTTTAGGGGCAAAAAAGCATAGTTTTCTGTATGTCAGTAACTTGTTGGTTCATCATAGTCTGCTTATACTTCCTGGCACTGGTTCCACTGGTAAATATTTCCTGGAATTTTGTTCTGTGAAGGCATCTTTCTGAGAGCTGCAGGGAGACAAAGACAAATCAAATTGTGCTTAAATATCTGTCACTTCACTCTTTCCCTGGAGCCCAACTTGCCTTGGTGGAAGCAAACAGAAACAATTGATCGCTACTTTAAAATGACTTTGCTTCCTTCCTGCAGGGTCAGTGGTAATGAACTTCAGCCTCTTGCCATTCTGGCAGTGTTGTTATGTCCTGAAGCGAACATATTCCCACGTAGCAAAGGTTTCTTTTCTTCCAAGGCTATAGAGGCATTTGCTTTACATTGTCGGGAAGTGGCTGCCTGGCTGTTTCTAAATTATTAGGTTTCCTCTCATGTGCTTTCAAACGCTGTAGAATATAAAAAGCTTGATGGCTTTGGGAGAGCCAGCAGAAACCAAATACAAAAACTTTCTAGGAGTTGGTTAGCTCGTTTAGGAATGACCTTCAGTTTTATGAGATTAAATTAACATCATCATAGCAACTTTTGTTCAGAAACAGTGAGCTGCAGAGAAGGGTCCAAGTGACTTAGAGACCCTGTGACATTTATATTTTTCTTCTTTCTGATGTGTCATGAAAGGAAGAATGGCTGAAACAAATCTTAAAGCTAAACTGTAACAAGAAATCAGTCTCAGACAGGCAGCACTATAGGACTTTAGAGCTGATGAGAAGAGCTAGGAAGGCTGACTTGTTCCTGAATTGTTTTAAAAGTATGTGACTCTCCTCTGAGGCCCCCTGAATTCCTCATTTAGAGAGGTGAGGGGCTTTTCTGGTGGTCCAGTGGTTAGGACTCTGGGCTTCTACTGCAGAGGGCGCAGGTTTGACCCTTGGTTGGGGAACTAAGACCCCACATGCCATGTATTATGACCAAGAAATAATAAGAAAATAAGCAAAAATAAGCATCTCCCAGTGCTTAGGAGATGAATCTAGAGGATGTTATGCTTAGTGAAATAAGTCAGAGAACGACCAATACTGTATGATATCACTTATATGTGCAATCTAAAAAATAATACAAATGAATGTATATGCAAAACAGAAACAGACTCACAGATATAAAAGCAAATTTATAGTTCCCAAAGGGGAGAGGGACAAATTAGGCCTATGGGATTGACAGATACAAACAATTATCAAGTAGATAAGCAGTTAGGATATACTGTATAGCACAGGGAATTATGACCATTATCTTGAAATAACCTTTAATGGAGTATAATCTGCAAAAAATACTGAAGTTTTATGTTGTATACCTGAAATTAACATAATATTGTAGATCAACTCTATTTTTAAAAAGAGCACGGACTCTGGAGACAATGCCAGAGGTCTAACCCCAGCTCTCCCACTTAGGAACTCTGAGACTTCGAGTTGAGTTCCCTCTGGGCTTCAGATTCCTATCTGAAAAATAGATCTATCATAGAATTATTGTTAAGCATAAATGAGACAATTCATATAAAGTACTTAAAAACAGCAGGCAGTAGATGATTGGTTATAATTAGCTATTTAGAGTGCTGCTTTATTATTGTTGCTGTTATTTCTGTAACCTAAATAATGACTATGAAAAAAAAAGTGAAAGTGTTAGTTGCCCAGTCTTGTCCAACTCTTTGTGACCCCATGGATTCTAACCTGCCAGACTCCTCTGTCCAGGGGATTCTCCAGGTGAGAATACTGGAGTGAGTAACCATTTCCTCCTCCAGGGGATCTTCCTGACCCAGGGATCAAACCCAGGTCTCCCAGATTGCAGGCAGATTCTTTACCATATGAGCCCCCATGGAAGCCCTATAATGAATATAACTCTTTCTATACATAAGAAAGGGCAGAATAAGTATTGATGTTACTGAAACAATTACTTTTTGCAGCAATGGAAACAGGCTTTAACTCATACCTAAGTAATGCAACCCTCAAAAGTGCATCTTGTTCTCCAGAATTAATGTTCAGCACTCACCTAGAAAAAGCTATAGTCCTGCTGAACATTTTAAGTAACAGGATGTGGGCAGGAATTCTGATTTCTCTCTGTCGTCTCTTCCTGGGAAGCAGCCTAACTGCAGCCAGTGCCTATAGGCACTCATTCACCTCTCACTGAGCACCTTTCTTGTGCCAGCCCCTGAGCCTGCCCAAGACACCAGGAGGAAGGAACAGTGCTTGAGAGGGAGGACACAGCCTCTCCGAAGTTAGCCAAACAGACAAGAGAGCAATGATGAGATGCTTAAGACAGTCTCTTGCAAATTCCACCTTAGTTCTTCTACTGGTATCACAGTCTCTGCTCACTCAGTCACTTAAATGACATTGCTTATTCGCTGCTGTTCCCTCTTTTCAAGACTTCAGATCTCGTGGAGGTTCCTGAAGAGGCTGATGGGCCGGGAGATGGGTATGACCTGCGGAAGCGGAGCAACAGTGGTAAGTCAGGGCGTGGGAATCAGGCACCACCACCCAGCGCAAACGGGTATCTCATCCATCATCCAGGTCAGCAGGCAGGCTCACATGACTTCCAGGCCCCTCTCTTTCTCAGCTCCCTCTGAAATTCAGGCTGGACAGTGTTTGATAATATGGAGGGGGACGGATAAATTTTGGTGGATTTCAGGAATTCAGTTATAACATTCCCTGAGCTCTGGCTCCTGAGTTCTCATGCTTTAAGGACATGGAGGTCCTTCCAGACCTTTTGTTAACATATCACTTTCCCCACTCACCTACACTGGATGAACAGGGCATCCCAGAGAGAAAACATCAGAAGTACTCACAGTGATGTGCCTGCTCAAGTGAGGGGTGGTGCTGAGGAGTGTGGGCCTCCCCTGGGCTCCTCCCCAGCAGAGATAACCAAGATTCAAAATCTGATCTGCACAATCAAGACAGATATTCCTTATTAATATCATTTAGTTTTCTGATAGCATAAGCCCTTTTTAAAATAATTCCTGGAATACTTGTTAAATACTAACTACTTGCTACCACTTGCTAGCATTGAGAAAGAATCTCCTCTTAGCTTAAAGAGACATAACCAGCTCCTAATACTTGAATCTTGATGAGCCTCTTTGATGTCAACAACTGCTTAACTTCCTCTTATTTATTAAACAAAAAAAAAATTATGAAGTGTTTTCTACCACCAGCAAAACTACATATGTCACAGAACTGTGCTCAGGTCACTCATAACCCAGCAATGTTGCAGGCTGTGACCTGTGTTGTTACCTTGGGCTGAATGCCTTCTCCTGGCAGAAGTTACCGTTCATGGCTCTAATCCCCATGTGGGAAGCACCGGAGAGTGCTGCCTTGGACAGATTTTCCACTTGCCTGGTTGTCCCTGCCTTTTCCAGACTGGAAACAGAACTTCTACATCAAATACCCTGTAGCTGCGTTGTCAGCAGCTGTCGTACAATGAGGTACCATTTCCATTTCTTTAGCTCTAGGAATTCACTCATGTCTCTTCTCCAGTTAAGATTGTGCCTCTGTGATGATCCTCCTTCCTAAATAACTGTCAGCATCCATCAGGGCCCCCCTCTTGCCAAGCCTGTACACAGCTGCTAAAGCATACCGCTAGAGTAAGAAGCCTTTGGCATCACATGGGGGAAACTGTACTTTGGGATCCATGCAGATATCCAGGGAGCACTTAGCAGTGCCATGAGGGAGACAGATTAGAGAGCACCAGCTGCTGGGGCCCTTGAGGCAGAGCCATAACCCTGCATGCACCCAGCCCAGGTCTGTCTAGCACTGCAGATCCAGCAGCTGAATTTGGGCCAGCAGCCCTGGAGTTCATCAGTACCTTAGGACCAAACTCACCAGAGACTGGAATATAAGCCAAAGCTGCATCTCAGTGCTTCAGGTCTGGTCAGCTGTTCTTCCCCTGAGTCTGATTCTGCCCATCTCCTGCCCCTGACAGTGGGCTCCCCTGCTGGCTCAAATGGTAAAGAATCTGCCTACAATGCAAGAGACCCGGCTTCAGTCCCTGGGTTGGGAAGATCCCCTGGAGAAGGAAATGGCAGCCCACTCCAGTACTCTTGCCTGGAGAATCCCAGGACAGAGGAGTCTGGCCGGCTGCAGTCCACGGGGTCACAGAGTCAGACACGACTGAGCAACTGACACCTGCCCCAGGCTCTTTTCGCCAAACCACGGATGGCCTCTCATCATAACTGCACTGGACGTATTTGGTCCTGGGCCCCTGCCTGCTCTGAAAGTGAAGGCTGGGCTTCCTTTAGTGATCATGTGGCCTTCGAGAGACCTCGCTTCTCTCTGCTTTAGTCGCTTCACCTCTAAAATGACGATGCTAATAACACCAAATCCATAGAGCCTCGTGATCTTTAAATGAGATAATGAATGTAAATATTACCCATTCACTGATGACTCTGAAGCTTCATTCCTAGCATTAGGCCTCTTGGCTGCCTCTGATGCCTGTAGCCTGCTGGACATGGCCATGTGAATGGAGGACAGGCCTCTTTAAGCTAATGCACCCAAGTGGACTCTTGAGTCCCTCACTTGCCTCCCTGCCCAACCACCCACTGAAATTGGCTCTTCTTTGTTGCTCCTACTCACTTGTAGGAATGTCATTCTGCTAGATTATCAGGCCAAGGCTTTTGGCATCATCCTTGACACCCTTCTTCTCGCACCTCTTGTCCAGTCTGTTGGCAGATTTTATCTGCTGGCCTTCAGAATCATACCCAGCGTGTGCCCACCACTTCCCTCTCTGCCTCCACCAGCCTGATCCAGCTTGATGGATACTGTCAGCCATTCCTCAGTAGACGAGGTCTCTATTTGCCCTGGGGATTTCTTTACTCAGAAAGTGGTCTTCTAGGGACTTCCCCGGTAGTCCAGTCAATGCAGGGGACATGGGTTCAATCCCTGGTCCAGGAAGATCCCACATGCCAGGGAGCTCGTGTTCTAGAGCCCATGTGCCGCAGCTACTATGGCCGTGCTCTCTAGGGTCCACGTGCCGCAACAAGAGAAGCCACGGCAGTGAGGAGCCCGTGCACAGCAATAAAGAGTAGCCCCCGCCTGCTGCAACTAGAGGAAGCCTGCATGCAGCAGCAAAGACAGCACAACCATAAATTATTTTCTTTTAAGGGGATCTTCTTAGAGTTCTAAATTATGAACAACCATATTTAAGGATCATCACTATGAAGCACTATTGCTATTACTGAAGTCATCATAAGGTCACAGAGTGTCAAAGATACAGTCTGGAGCCTCACTACTTCACGTGTGGCCCATGGACCAGCAACCTGGGCAGAGCTTGAGAGCCCATGAGAAATGCAGAATCTCAGGCTGCCCCAGGCCCTGCAAAATCAGAATTTGCAGATGAATCTGTGGTTCACATTTTTGTTAACATTTGAGAAACAGGATTAGAGACCATTTGGTCCAACACCCTCTCCTCCAACATACACACACAAGGATACATAGACATACACACACAACAAATACCGGATAGATTAAGGAAACTGAGACACTGAATAATACACTCAAAAACACAAGTTGATTATCTGCTGTCTCTTTTTCACATTAAAGGGCATTTTCACAGTCTTATTCAAAGAAATCTGTTGAAAGAACTTAGCAAACAATAAATCTCTAAAACGCTTTAGAGATCTATTAAATATTCCTTTGATTAGCAGTAGCTTTCTTCACATGCCCTCTTAGAAGTGGGGGTGAGTAGTTATGCAGCAGTTTGCTTCAAAACATGTTCCTTTGATTTGGATTTAATGCTCTGTCTGTGCAGTTTGAGAAACAACGTACTTGCTTACATAGAATCCAAGTTCCCTCTCATCTTCTCACAGTTTTGGCAAGGAGAGCTTCCAGGTCTGTATCACCTGTTTCACATGTGTTCTAAAAAGTGCACAGGTATTATTTCTGCCAGCCAGGTGTTGTGTCAAAATTCTTGAGGAATATTTCCAAGGCCACCTCAGAAGAAGTACAATTGATACTCATGTCTTTACTGATAAAAACGCAGTCCCTGCCTTCTCTCTTATCTTATGAATCGCTTGGGCAGGTCTGAGGGTTTCTGGTTGTTGTCTTCAACATTATTCCTTGGTGCCTCAGAAATTGACAGAGGCAGAATTATTGGTCTTCGCTTTTGCCTTAACTGCCGAATCTCCCCTGGAAGCAAGGTCATAAGCAAAGGGTGAAGCATCTATCTAATGCATAGCCTCAGGATGACAAAAAGTCAAGGAGAAATTGACGGAACTGTTAGGAAATTGGCATTGCAGTTCATAATCAGAGATTTTACCACACCTCTTGTTCACTGGCAAATGAGATAGACAAAGAGTTTCAGTATAGACATGGAGGATCTGTGGACATACTTGACGATCCTAACCTAATTAACTTTCAAAGGACACTCCAAAAGAATGAATATATTAATATATTTACGAAGTGGCTTCCCAGGCAGCACTAGTATTAAAGAATCCGCCTGTCAATGTAGGAGACGTAAGAGACATGGGTTTGGGTCGGGAAGGTCTCCTGGAGGAGTACGTGGCAACCCACTCCAATATTCTTGTCTAGAGAATCCCATGGACAGAGGAGCCTGGCAGGCTACCGTCCATAGGGTTGCAAGATGTCAGACATGGCTAAAGCAAATTGGCATGGCACACATACAAATATATGTATCCTAAATCACTTTTACACCTGAGACTAGCACAACATTATAAACCAACTGTACTTCAATTAAAAATAATAAAAAATTAAAATTAAAAAGGACGCTTCATCTAACAAATGAGGAATTCACATTCTTTTTAAGAACACATGGAACTATTGCTTACCTTCTGGACTATAATGCACGCTTCATAAATTTCACAGAATTAATAAGATATAGAACACATCTTTCTAACTACAGTGCAAACAAGATAGAAACGAATACCCAAAATATAACTAGGAAAACCCACTATTTAGGAAATTAAAGACATACTTTTTAAAAGCTAATATGTCAAAGAAGTCATAATGAAAATTGAAATATATTTAAAACTAAATAATAATGAAAACACTACCAGACTTCCCTAGTGGTCCAGTGGTTAAGAATCTGCCTGCCAATGCAGAAGACACAGGTTTGATACCTCGTCTGGGAAGATCCCGTGTGCTCTGGAGCAACTAAGGCTGTGAGCCAAAACTACTGAGCCCAAGCTGTAGATCCCTTGAGCTCCAACTACTGAGCCCACATACCACAAAATACTGGCGTCTACATGCCTTAGAGGCAATGCTCTGCAAAAAGACAAGCCATTGCTACGAGAAACCTGTGAACCACAACTAGAAATTAGCCCGCACTTGCTGCAACTAGAGAAAGCCTTCATGCGGCAAAGAAGACCCAAAACAACCGTAAATAAATAATTTTTAAGAACACCTACCTATCGCAACTTGTGGGATGCAGCTAAAATTGTGCCTAGAGTATTCAGCTCTAAAATTATTTCATTAAAAAATAATAGCTGAAAAGTAATAATCTGAGCATCACATTCAATAAGTCAGTAAAAAAAAATTTAAAAAGAAGTCAGTAAAAGAAAAAAGAATAGATAAGGAAGGCAGTAATAAAGACAAGGAATTATTACGTGACACAGATAGATCAGTAAATTCTAAACATAGCTCTTTAAAAAAGTAGAATTTACAATTGATAATTTTAAGAGTAAGAGAGAAAGATGAAACAAAAGTAATAATTTTAAAAGGAGAAATGTCAACAAAGGTTGACAGGAAAGCACCTTATGACCAACTTCACACCAGTAGATTTAAAACTTCAAATGGACAGCTGCCAAGAAAGTTATCAATGACCAAAGTATGACTCAAGAGGAAATAGAAATTAGAGAACTTGACTTGGCTTCCAATTATGATAGAAACAGAATCAATATTTTAAGTTTTTTCACAACAAAAATGCCAGACCCAGGCAACTTTATAAGTAAACTTGACCAACCAAACATTTAAGGAAGATAAAATTTCCAGATTAGCTAAGCTCTTTCAAGACAACAGAAAGTGCCAACCGGCAGCATTCTCTAACTTAGTTTAGGGGGCTGGTATAATGCTGACTTCAAAGCCAAAGGAAGACAGCGTGAGAAAGAAAATCGCTGGCTCATCCCCCTCTTGAATGTGGGCACAGAAATCCGACACAAAATCACCTCAGTACCCTGAACCCAGTAACGTATTTTAGAAAGGCTGTACATAAGTACCACGTTGAATTTATTCTGGGGATGCGAGGTGAGTCAGTGTCAGCACGCTGATAATGTAGCTTGTACATGACCAGGTTAAATCTGAAAACCCACATCAGCAGCTCGTTGGAGACATGGGCCTCACAGGACTGCGAAGTAAAAGAGAAAGACAGAATATAGAAAAGGAAGAGAAGAAAGCTTTAGGGGGACTAGCAAAAACTGAAGGTTGATTTTGCATCTGTAACATTAGAAAACATACCTGCAGAATTAACACAGATTTTGTATGTTTCCATGGATGAAATCAACAGACAAATTATTTTTCATAAAATGAATTTAAAGTACCAAACATAAAAAAATGTCTGATAACATTTTTTTGGTAAAATAGCTATCTTTCTTTATACCTTTCCCCTCAAATCAACGTCTTAGAAATAGCCAGAAGGAATGGGTTTTTTAAAAAATCATTTTTGAAATGTTCCAGTTCTGTCTGTAACCATTTGACTGAAAACACATTTGGAGTCACTTCAAATAATGTTCAGCATAGTTCAAAAAATGATAACGCATTGTTGTGATGGCTAATGGATAGTCAATGAAGAGCTAAAATAATTTGAAATTACAAAACTGTAAAAGCAAACTGAATATTGCACATGCATCTTATGTAGTCTCAATTTTAGCTTCAATCAATAATTTTCTAAGAAGATGGTCTTGTTATGTTTCCATTCAGCTATTCAATATTCTTTAAATGTGTCCAGTTTTATATTTATGGAATCAAGTATTATGCCAAGATTTCAAGTAATCACTTAAAACAGAGAAAAGTATTGCTGATTAGAAAACATACCTGCAGAATTAACACATGTATGTTTCCATGGATGAAATCAACAGACAAATTATTTTTCATAAAATGAATTTAAAGTACCAAACATAAAAAAATGTCTGATAACATTTTTTTGGTAAAATAGCTATCTTTCTTTATACCTTTCCCCTCAAATCAACGTCTTAGAAATAGCCAGAAGGAATGGGTTTTTTAAAAAATCATTTTTGAAATGTTCCAGTTCTGTCTGTAACCATTTGACTGAAAACACATTTGGAGTCACTTCAAATAATGTTCAGCATAGTTCAAAAAATGATAACGCATTGTTGTGATGGCTAATGGATAGTCAATGAAGAGCTAAAATAATTTGAAATTACAAAACTGTAAAAGCAAACTGAATATTGCACATGCATCTTATGTAGTCTCAATTTTAGCTTCAATCAATAATTTTCTAAGAAGATGGTCTTGTTATGTTTCCATTCAGCTATTCAATATTCTTTAAATGTGTCCAGTTTTATATTTATGGAATCAAGTATTATGCCAAGATTTCAAGTAATCACTTAAAACAGAGAAAAGTATTGCTGGTCTCTACTCTTTTTAAACCAGGAAGTTGCATAGCTAAATATTCAGGCAGACACGGTCTGTAAGCATTGGCCTACAAAGCGGAGCTCCTTCCATGACCGCATATTGACTTCCTAGGGATAATGGAACTGCGTCCACCAGCTCTGGAACCATAAACCATGGACAATAGATGTTTACTGAGCATTGGTACATTTATGGGGCTCTTGTTCGGAAGTGTGTTTCCTTCACAGTGACTGAGTCCATTTGCAGGACAGTGGAGATTGTCAGGGCTAACTGAAAGAGGTTGCACAGCTTTCTGGGATGTGTTTCTCTTCCTCTTCTGGTTTCTTTGACCCTCTTTAGGAGACCCAAAGGGAAGACTAAAACAGCAATGTATTATTTTTGATTATCAAAGCTTCTACAAGGTAGAGTAATTTCAACACTATGGGCCCTATCATATAGACTTGGAAACATGTGCCACCTTTTATTTTTATTTAAGAATGATACATGATGTTGGTCTCCAGGGTAGATGCTTGAACTAGCTAAGGCAGAGCCCCCCAATACCCATCAACCCATCAGGGACCTCCCACAGCTGTGTGTGTGGACAGAGACAACTCCTGCCCATCTTAAGAAGCCTTTTTCTTCATCAAAGGCCACAGAGTGGCTGCTAAAATGCCAAAGGTAGAGAATTGTGTATTTTAAGGTCACACTAAGTGAGAAACCACTGTTTATTTTTTTCTCAGTAATAGCCCCCGATGCATTCCCAGTAAGAGATCGAGGAAGTATTTTGAAGTTCAAAACCTCAATCTGCAAGTAGAATACAGAGATTATCAGGAAATTAGCATGAAGATATTTAATAGAGATCAAAGAGTCTGGTACTTAGAAAAGTGTATTCAAATACAGTTAAATTGCGCCATACCTCACCTACCTTACCATCCCCCTAACAAATGATTGGATACATTTAACATAGATGAATTACATGGTTTCTGCTCCTGAGAAGAGCTCTGCCAAATGAGATCAAGCAATGCAGGAGGATGTGTGCTGGCCCGGAGGCGTGGACAAGGGTGTGGGTGTGCAGAGAGTGCGGTGTGGACCCTGTAAGGGGCGCAGAGGGCAACAGATGGGACATGACATGCGAGCTGGGTCGCTGAGGATGGGGAAAGGCGGGGAGAAACTGAGCTGAAACTGTGGTACAAGGAATAAATAAAGCTACGTCTTTCAAGCATGTTTCCAAAATGTGGACTCATAAAACTCCTACTTTTCCTGGTCTCTTTCAGTGTTCACGTATCCAGAAAATGGCACCGACGATTTCAGAGACCAAGCAAAGAACATAAATCACCAGGTATTTATGGACATCTCAGAAGACAGACCAGACAGGGTCTTTAGGTTATTCTGTAGGTCACCCCCTAAGTGGGTCATGAAATCACTTTAGTGGGGCCCAGACTAGCATTTTTAGAGGATAATGTACCATAGAGTGCATAGCATATGGCAGCACTGAGCAAAACAAATATCCATGTATCCAAGGCACAAGGATAGATATTGTACTGTGTGCTTCTCTTTCTGTTATGTATGTTACATAAAAGTTGATATGTGCTCTACAGATGTAAATGATATATTATGACTATATTTCATAGTACATAAGTATTGTATTTTATGTTAATTTACATATATAATTAAGGTAGAATAATACTGCATAAAGTACTTGAGCTTTGGGTAGCAAAGTGAATCACAGATAAAAAGCATATAGTTATGTGCAGTTTTTGTTTATGTTTTCTAGATATGGCATCTATTCATTATATTATTATATATTTAAATGTATAGTTATACATTGTATATCTACATACATATAAAATGCTACACTATAAATATTACATGTTGTATAATTTTAATTTATCTTGTATATTATAAAGCAGAAACATTTATATAGCTATAACATTTATGTAGTTAATAATAACAGCTTATGTTTATATAATACCTATAAAACTCATATAGTTTACAAATTAGAGACATAATAATATCGACCTCACAGGGCTGTTGTTAGCATTGCATGTGCTAATCCATGTGCCATCATGCCTCTCACACAGCAAGCTATCAGAAAACAGTAGCTTTTATTATCATTGTTGCAGTTTCATAGTCAGTGGATGGTGATGCCATAACCAATCAAATCAGTCTCAGGCCAACATCTTTAATATTTCCACAGCATGAATGAACTTATTTCTGGATGACTACACCCAGATCCCTTTGATATTACTAGATACAAAATTGTCCATCTTAGGGAATAGAAGTTGTTTACTAGTCTCCACCTGTCTCCTGTCTATAGAGAGAATATTCTCTTGCTTGGACTCAAGTCTGTATCATCTTTCATGAACAACTATATCAAAGAAAAAAAAAGTGATTTGAAGAAAATTGTAGTATTTCTGACAAAAAGTTCCACATAAATGTTTTCAAATAGTTTGTAATGAAATCAAACTCAGCTAGGAAATTAAAAATAAACTTACATTTGGAACAAAATAATAATAGTTAGATATTTAACACAAAAGATCCGTACACTGGAATTACATTTAACTTCTCCATTTCCTGTCTTCTTCCTTTGCTCCATTTCTTTATCCTTTCTTCTCTCATTTTTCTTTTATGTTTCTCTTTCAGGGACCTCTTTCCAAAGACCCATTACAGATGAACACCTATGTTGCCTTGTACAAATTTGTACCACAAGAGAATGAAGATTTGGAAATGAGGTAAAAAATATTTTTTAAAGGAAGAAGAAGAATGAAAGATTTAAAGTCAGTGGTGATGTATGTGAAAGAAAATAATTCAATTTGCGCTGCCTCCAAGTGCCTTAGAGCAGTAATTCTCAAATGTTATCATGCGGGGCTGGTTAATGCAGATTGCTGTGCCTTATTCTGGAAGTTTCTGACTCAGCACTATTCAGCGTGTCTTGCGTGGGGCTTGATAATCCGAGTTTCTAACTGGTCTGCAGGTGGTGCTGACGCTGCTGGCCCAGGGACCACAGTTTGAGAAGCGTGGTTAGTACATCATCAGTAGAGCTGCTTCTGGCATTCGTCATGAAGGCTAAGCATCAGATGCACTTGGCATTCTGTGGGGTCTAATAGGGAACCAAAAATGTACTTGTTGCCCAAATTAACACTGACTGACGAATCAAGCTAAAACTCTATCTATCCCTGCCAGAGACTGGCAGCTCCCCCTGGCTCTCACCTAGAGGTTCTTCTGTTTCAAGAACCATCCCACCTCATGGTCATTGAAACAGAGAGACAGGTGAGCCTCAGGGCGCTCATGAGATCCAAACCTTTCTCTGGACCACAGTCTCATGTTTCAGGGGTAGTGTGGCTGGAGTCAGTACTGTGTCCACATCCTCCTTGCTGTGTGATTTTAAGCAATGTACAAACATCGTGTTTCCCTGGTTTCCTTAGTGATAAAAACATAATAGTGACCTTTTCCCTTAAGGCATTTGTGAGGATAAAGCAAATAAGGTTCATAAAGCATTTAGAGCAGTAATGGTTGACACTCAGGAACTGGCCGTCAGTACAGTCTTTGTAACGTCGCGTTCCCCAGGTTGTCCCAAAGAAAAGACTTCACTCCTTCCCTCTGTTCATGAGCCATGCCGCAAGCACTCTCAGGAGAGGGACTTGGTGTTTTCCAGCCCTGGAGCAGGATACAAGGGGCTGCTTTTGCAGCCACATGGGCCCTTAGAGATGGGTTCTTTCCTCTTCTGAAGAGCATGGAGAGAAAACCTAGCACAGAAAACCATTCATATGTCAGAGCATTAGGAAAATAGCCTCCATTTTACGGTGGACTCCACTATCCAAGTGCTGTGTCACTGGTCCTCCCTGCAGAAGGCTCTGGAACACCTTGTCTCCACCCTGGAGCTCTCTGAGCTTTCCCACATCTCACATGTGCTAAGTCACATCAGTTGTGTCAGACTCTTTGAGACTCTAGGGACCATAGCCCACCAGGCTCCTCTGTCCATGGGATTCTCCAGGCAAGAATGCTGGAGTGGGTTGCCATTCCCTTCTCCAGGGGGTCTTCCCCGACCCAGGGATCAAACTCACCTCTCTGACGTCTCCTGCATTGGCAGATGGGTTCTTTATCACTAGCACCACCTGGAAAGTCCTTTTCACATCTCAGGTCTGTCCGTTTCCCTGGTGTGACCCCTCTGGCTTTTGCCTGAACATGGTTCTTCCTCAGTGAAATCAGCCTTCTCCTCTTCCACTTTCCCCAAAGTCCCTGAAGAGAAAAGAACTATCAACAGCCTCCATCTGGACCATTTCCTGGTCCCATTTGCCATTGGGGTCAAGCTGGATCGCTCAGCTGCCCTTCCTGGTACAAGGCCCAGTGGCCCCCGTAGCAGATGTGGGTGTCCTGGCGAAGTCTGGCGGCTCCCCCAGCTCACACCCAAGGTCAGCTTTCATTGTTCGTCTGTGATCTGCTTCCAGCTGATTCTTGGGCTTTTCCCGGGCAGAGTTCAGGCTTGGTTCCTGGCTCCTTAGATTCGTTCGGACAATTAGGTTCTTGTATATCTGAATTTTCTCCATCCTTGAGGAAGACTCACCATGCTGAACTCACTGGCTGGAGATGTAAATGTTATCTAAACAGTCTGGTCAGGTACAGAAGAATGAGATGGTGTTTGTCAGGTGAAGCCCCATTCTATCAAGATACCGCAAACCCTACCAGTCAGAACCTACCTAGGATTCATCACTGGTGTGGTCCCTTGCCCTCAACTGACAGTCCACGTTAACTATCTGCTGATGAAGACAAGGAGGACCTATATTTACTTTGCAGTGAACAGTATATTGGGTTCTTCTTGAGATTATCATTTGAGTGTCTAGAATTTAAAATTTAACAGCACCCCATTGTGCAGGCCCCACAGCTTCATCTTAGAAGATTGTTCTGAACGTATCAGATGGAAACAATAGCTCCAGAGAAGTCTGACTCAGGAGTGAAGTCTTAACTGCCTGGTGGTGGTCCTAAGATTTTGTGCTTAGTTTAGTCGGCGCTTAGTTTAGTCGTTCACAGGCCATTAACAGTCAAGTTGTCTGGTCACGAATCAAACGTTTACACTCTGCTTCAAGGCAAATAAGACTCTTCACTCCCAGGAATGAAATGTCTGCATTGCATAGACTGCAAGATTGGAGTGATAAATCATACTTTTTTTTTCTTTGCAAAGAGATTGTAGGTTCCCATTTTAGAAGCCAAGCTCTGATTTAGAATGTGTAAGGCAATGCTTTGGGGATTTAGTATCATTCCTTGAATGAACTAGGGCTTTGTGAATTATCTTTTTCTCCTTAAACCATAAGGTAGTAAAAATCCTTTTAACAAAACTCTTATTTTCATCCACCTTCCTTCTGACCCAGGGGGCATGCTGGAGATTATCCTCAGGAAAAAAAACAAAGGATACAGGGAATGTTGAAGGTGTGAGCTTGAGAACAAAGGAGGTCTAACTGGCAAAGCCAGTAGTCACAGATCAGAGCAGATGGCCCATCACTTCAGCCAGAGTTTGCTGTATATCTGCTCAATAACAAGAAAGCTTTTTCTGCCAATAGCCAACGGTCCAGACCTCTCTTCAAACCTCCAGATTCTCCTCCATGCCTACCCCAGGAATGCCTGGCACCCAGGACCTCTGTCCTGCCGCCCCACAAACCTGTCCCCAGGGTGAATGATCACCATCTGCCCAGGCCTCAAGCCGGCCACCTGATGTTTTCTTTTACCCCATGCCCAAAATGCATTCAATGTTCAATTCCTAGTGGTTCTCTTTGCCTCAGATCTGCTTTATCCAGCCCCACCTTCACCTCTCCCTGGATTGCTATGGGATCCACCTGGTCTCTACATCACCCGCCCACCCATTCCTCCCTTCCCATTTACTTTGGGTGGAAAGGATGCTGCAAAGACAGCCAGTGTCCTGGGATCGTCTAAACTTTGGAGTCAAACAGAATGGATTCATGTCCCTGCTCCTCTATTTTCTGACAACAGGGCATCTTACCTAACTTTCTGAACCTCTGTCTTCTCACCTTGAAAGTAGAGATAATAAAGCCTGTCCTTGTAGGATGGTGGTGGTTGAGTTGCTAGATCATGTCCATCTCTTTGTGACCCCGTGGACTGTAGCCCACCAGGCTCCTCTGTCCATGGGATTCTCCAGGCAAGAATACTGGAGTAGGCTGCCATTTCCTTCTCCAGGGGATCATCCTGACCCAGGGATTGAACCCGGGTCTCCTGCATTGCAGACAGATTCTTTACTGACTGAGCTATGAGGGAAGCCCTTGTAGGATGATTGTCATTAAATAAAATAACATAGTAGGAGTTTAACAGTGTTAATTCCAGTCAGTTCTGTTCATACCCCAGAGGTAGATGCTTCCTTTGCAGACATAAAAAATGAGGCAGAAAGAGATTGACATGCAACATGGATTCACTGAATATTTAAGAATAAAAAGTGTGGGCATCTCTTGACCTGGATTTAAGCTGTAGCCAAGCCGCTCATTACCTGTGTGACCCCCATGAAGCCTGAGAAGGTTCCACAAGCCATATGAGCTTCTGCTTTTATAATACACGCATGAAGAAGAGAATCACTGTGCCTGCCTTAGGTCTGCTCATGACACAAGTGTGTTTAAAACTCTCTAATGCCCTCCCACTCCCCTTGTGTCTAGACCGGAATATTTACAGAGACGTGGTGGCTTCTCTCACCTGGTGACTTCTCTGCTTTTCTGGCACCACTGTTCCCCTTACCTCTCTGCTCCATCATTTGTTCCCCAAAAGGACCATGCGTCCCTTATGGCTCAGCTGGTAAAGAATCTGCCTGCAAAGCGGGAGACCTGGGTTCAATCCCTGGATTGGGAAGATCCCCTGGAGAATGGAAAGGCTACCCACTCCAGTATTCTGGCCTGGAGAATTCCATGGACTATATAGTCCATGGGGGTCTCAAAGAGTCGGACACAACTGAGCAACTTTTACTTTCACTTTCAAGTCTTGCCAAAGAAATTTTCTTCCTTCCCTCTGTTCCTCCTACCCTTCTACTCACCCACCACCACCACCCTTACACACACACACCCTCTTCCAGTTGACTGTTATGCACCCACTAGATCTCAACTCTTCCTTGGTGCAACCTCGGTGAGATCCTCTATGATATACTTTCATGACATCATATTTCTTTTCAAAGCATTTATCTCATTTTGTATTTATATATTTCTTGGATTGTTTGGTTAACTTATCTCTCCCTTGTAAAGCCCATGAGAACAAATCTGTATTTGTTAAATAACCCTGTGTCCCTGGAGTATAGGCCAGTTCTTTAGACTTCAGTTCAGTTCAGTTCAGTCACAGTCATGTCCGATTCTTTGTGACCCCATGAACTGCAGCACGCCAGGCCTTTCTGTCCATCACTAACTCCCGGAGTTTACCCATGTAAACTCATGTAAACTCATGTCCATTGAGTCGGTGATGCCATCCAACCTTCTCATCCTCTGTCGTCCCCTTCTCCTCCTGCCTTCAATCTTTCCCAGTGTCAGGGTCTTTTCAAATGAGTCAGCTCTTCGCATCAGGTGGCCAAAGTATTGGAGTTTCAGCTTCAACATCAGTCCTTCCAATGAATATTCAGNGTTGTTCCATGTCCAGTTCTAACTGTTGCTTCCTGACCTGCATACAGGTTTCTTAAGAGGCAGGTCAGGTGGTCTGATATTCCTATCTCTTTCAGAATTTTCCACAGTTTGTTGTGATCCACACAGTCAAAGGA